AGCCGTGAATCGCCTAAAGGGCTATTTCGGCTGCAGCTTCGATTCGAGCATAATGGCGTGATTTTTCTGCTCGGATTTGTGAATTATCGCAAGATGCTCTTTTTTCACCGAGCCGAGCTTGCTGGGTCTGGCTTTGCAGAACCGTGAGACCAATCAATGAGGTCCACCACAGTTTCGGCACCGTGTAGGGGCTTTGCACTCCGTTTCAGCTTGCATTTTTGTTCCGCAGTTCCAGCAAGCCGGAGCGCGGGAGCAACCGCGTGAGGCATGGAAGCCATGACATTGTTTGCACTGAACTATTTTTCGACGAGGTTGGAAGAGCTTTGCAGCTCCGAAGTCATCGAAGAGGCGAAATCCAGGTCGGGGCGCGGACTCGCGAGGAAAGAGGGCTTGCCAGTTCTCGTATGGCATCCCAGGTTTGCAGGTTCCGTGAGGACGAACAAGAAAAGGAACTGATTTGGTCACTCGCGTGACTTCATCGGCAACTATCTTTGCCGTCACGGCGATGGGGCCATCGAGAGTTCGAATTTTCACCGGGACGGTGGCAATTTTCATGGCAACCAGGCCTGATGCTGGTTCCAGTTTGATTCCAGGTTCGCTCCGTGATGTGGAGGAATCTAGGAGCTCTTTTCGAACGAGTTCATCCTTTGTGGTTATTGCAAAGCCGATCTTTACCCGCAGAACCAACGTGATATTGTTGGCAGCGGTTCCCAGCGCCTGAAACACCGCTAGCCTTACGCCTGCTGGAGAGAGGAGACGGTGGGGATGGAAATAGTCAAAGCGCAGTAAAAGTCGTGAATCGACTTTTTCACTCGAGTTTGCACTTTTTGCTTTCTGAGCGAGCATTGCTGCCTTTTTTGTCGATGGCCTAGCGCTGCTGACTAGGCCTGCCCGAGCTACGGTGGCCCAAGTTGTCTTTGGGGCCGGAGCCTAGGTTTTCGTAGGGTTAGGTACCCTAATTTCTGGAGCCCTCGGTGGGAGAGGGTTGGCGGGGCGAACAGGAAGGACTGGTGGTGTGCTTCCTGAACCGGATTGAACGAACTGGCCAATGGCTGCTCGTAGGTAGACTTTTATACCGTCTACGAATTCTTTGTTATCGCCGATCGAAAGAGGCGAAAGTGCTGCTTCAACACTTTTTATCGCAGTCGAGCAGATGGCGAGGCCGGCCGTAATTTGCGTCGTCCGTCGCTTTTCGGCCTCCATCAAAGTTTTCAGCTCAGGGGGAAAGTACATCGCTGTTGTCGAAGCTGTGCCCTTGGAAGTTGGCACAGTGTATTTTCTTGAAGACGTTTCTGCGTGTTCTGTCGTCTTCTCTCGGACGACTTCCTTTCCTTTCCTTACGTTACTTGCCTCTGGGGCAAGCTCGATGGGAATTTTGGCCTCGGGACCAATTTTATCTGACCTGACGGGCTCAGAATTAGTCATCTCTTTATCGGGAAGGTTTGGAGACTTCCCTTCGATGAAGGCCTCACTCGCAAATATGCTTGAAAGTTTTTGAGCGAGGCCTAGTGTTTTCGCAGGAGCCCTCGGGCGGACTCTCGCGTTATCCAAGATTGCGTTGGGGAGCTTTTTTCGAACAGGTGTCATGATGAAAATGTCAGTGACTCGATCACTATTATTTGCTACAATGCGACGAGCGCGTGAGGGAGGGAAAGTGGGAAAAGGTGAAGATTCGAAAATTCGAATTTCAAAAAAATTATTGTTGTATTATGAGCTAGCTTGACCTTAAATAATAATAATAATAATAATAAGAGTTGCTCACTTGAGTTAATGCGCTCTAGGACGATGGAAGCATGTCTGAAAAACTTTGCAGTGGTACTTGCAAATGAAATGTGAGGCATGAATGCTCTTCCTTTATATTGAGACATCTTTTCTGTACTTTTCTTTGATATTGTGTCAAAGCTAGATAGCTGCATATGCAATTAAAACCTGATGTAAAAAAAAACAAAGAATGCGCTCTACAACCTCAATGACTAATGGGTCACTAGTTCCTTGATGCTCCCCAATATTCATACCTCATAATTAATTCGCCATGGCATCCATCCTCTGCATCCTCTGCATCAGCTCGGAAACTTGTCCTCATCTCTCTCACGTCCATCCCGAAGAGCTATATCCCAGGTATATGTGCCACGATTTGTTCCCCATGACGAGTGTAAACATCGGCATGGGCGTGTATTTGGTGACCAGCTGAGGCCAGGGAACGTCGACGAGGGGTGTGGTCATTGGAATGAGCTTGTACTAGGTCGTACCTGTAAACTTGATGATTTTTGGCTAGTAACTGATGTCGCTGGGATGTCGCTAGGAGGTAGAGTTTGACATGGTGGATTATATCTTGAACCCTCGCGTCGTGGGCCAACCTTTTTGGTATTTCGAGAATTGGACGAACTCGGCTCTGGAACAATATTTCACTCTCAGAATCATAGTAGACATTGCGAACACGTGTTCAGTCTTTGACCACCCGCTGTAGGCCATGTCCCTGCTAGGGAGTATTCTAATTAAACAATTGTGTATCTTTTGGAAAAAGTTATGGGCTGCAATCATGTCTCAACTACAAACATTAGTTACGCCGTTGAATGTGTTGTGTCATAGCTTAACAGGTGAATTCATTATGAAATGTTTTTAAAAATATGCCTTTGAGTACCATTTGAAGAAAATTTCTCCACAGCTACTTATAGACTAATCATTTTTCATTACTACAAGACAGGTCATGATCCACATTCCATTCCGGGTATTCGTAATTTCGAGGGCTTACAGTGCCTCTAGGTTCCAAAAGGTAAAACTTCAAAGTGGGTCGTTGAAGGGATTAGCCCTGTAGGTGCAGTTGGGCTAGCTCGTAATAGGTTAGTATGTCTCTCCTCCTTACCCCGCTCGCCATGAAGTATGGTCCAATCGTCTTCTTCTAATAATCGCTTAGAAAACACATTTTCAACGACATTTTTGGCTGCCAAGCCTACACAATCACTGAAACTTCTCACCACTATCAATTCGTCCTCTATCCTAGCAAACAACGTCTCTCGAAAATTCTGCTTCAGAAACTAAAGCTCGCAAGCATCTAACTCGCGATCAATGTATAGAAATAAGAGCAATAAGAAGACTTGGCTTGACACTTCAAAATATATCCGACAAACTTGGCTTCACAATAAGACAAGTACAACTTGCGTGTGCTCGAGAGACTGAGAATCCTATGTCTCGCAAAGGACCTTTACCAAAATCAAGCGCAGAACAAGTTGATGACCTTGAAGCATTCGTCCGGGAGTCACCTGAAAATCGACAGATGTGCTATTTGGAACTAGCCATGGGGCCCTTCAGCCACTGGGGATGCAGTGAACGTCTGATTTCTAATGCACTCAAATATAGAGGTTACAGCAGATGAATTGCTCGGAAGAAGCCTCCGTTAAGTGCAGTGAACAAACAGAAAAGATTGGAGTTCGCCCAATTACATTTAGATTGGAGCGATGAACAATGGAGTCGCATATTATGGACTGATGAAACCTTGGTATTGGGTGATTGTCATATGAAACCTCGTGTCACAAGAAAAGTACGTATAAATTCTATCAGAATCTTCCTCGTAATAACAGCAGAGTATAGCCTGATGATGAGTTTGATGAGACTTGTATTTTGGCTCTCCATACTCATGGGAACAGCTGGATGTTTTGGGGATCATTTTAAGGATCATGAAAAGGCCCATTCCTAGTCTTGGAGAAGGATTGGGGATCAATGAGGGCCTCATCCTTTTGTGAAAGGATTTTGCCACTTTTGAGTCAATTTCACTCGGAAAATCCAGAAATTCTATACATGCACGATAACGCACCATGTCATAAAGCGTACTCAACAATTGAGGCGCTTCGTGAAGTTAGAATAACGCCTATTAGATGGCCACCTTACTCTCCGGACCTGAACCCGATCGAGTCATTGTGGAATATCTTAAAAAACCACATTCAGGTAAATAGTCCTGTGATAAATGGGGTCAGGCTTGAGCGCTCTGCCACGTTGAAGACATTGCTACAGGATGCATGGGACTCTATACCTTCAGAGGAGCTATTGTCACTAGTTGGCAACATGCACGAAAGATACGTTGCAGTGATAAAGGCAAATGGAGGGTACACAGAGTATTAGGATGGAGAAGACACACAAAACATGTAATACGCTTTCATTTTAGTTGCGAGCCATACTGAGGGCTTCGATATAGTCTTTTGTAATACAGAGCAATAATTTTTGAAATAGATGTGCATTTTCAGAGACTATCAACTGACTTTTTTCAATTTTGAATTTCAACTGAGGACTATTGTACTTTTCCCATTGAGTTCAAAACCATCCCCATAATTTAGACTTTCACGGAATGTCATTGGGTAGTACCGCTTGCTTGCATAACTAGTCGAGTAACTAGACATGGGCCTGCATGAAGATCATACCAAATAAGGCGAAATGCACAGGGATCGAACCCCAGTCATTTTGACAATTTTATCTTTGTCACCCATAAGAGACTGTACGTTTGAAGTCTTTAGACTTGGTCGATGTGCAGTGCAATCCTAGCCCTGACGAGTCACTACTTCATACTCAAAGACTTGGTAAAACTTTGGTTATCATCGTCTTTGTTGGAAGTGAGATGAGATAATTGATAGATACGAACTATCGCTGCTCTGCTAAAATTCTACAACATTGCAACATACGACTATGTCTAGGACCTGATAAAAAATTTCATGACCAGGTCCGCGGGAGATATCGCCTAATTATTAAGCTTTGCATATGACTCATGCAATTTATTAATTTGAAATGTGCTATGAGACAGCGGTGGTCCATAGAAATTTAAATTCTATGACTACATCTTTAGATTTCTAATAAAAATTGGTTGTACTCAGATGATTTTGCTGCAACCTGACATTTCTGTGCGGCTAATAGCCTCTATTTATTCTTTGTACGTTTCCACCTAAAACTATCTGCTTTAGCCTCATAGACTTTACCTCTACATATGAAATCTGGTTTTAGTATAACCTAAGACTTCAGGTCTCTTCTTCAATCGGAGCTTTCATTTCAAAAGTCCCCTGTCTTCCGAGCTCATCATCGTTCATAAACGTGAAGGCCGTTATTGCATGGATGAAACGCTCGGGCTCCTTCTTAATGTCGATAGTGTCAGATCCAAAAGCACCGCCGCGATTAAATAACCAGAGTTGTAGCTTCGTTTGATATAAAATGAATACAAAAGCATGCTTACGCAGTGGCTGACCGCAGAATATCTCGCGGACATGGACGGCAGTCGCAAAGAAGACTTGACGCTGCCAGTCCTCTATGGGCAAATTTGTGATCTTACCAACCACCTGCACATCGCGCCATTTACTGACTCTATCCACAGGCGCACTTCGAGGCTTGGTGAAGACTTCTAGCTGCCAGAACTTACTATCACCAAGCTGCTCTCCCTCATAATCCAAGCGATAGTATTTCCAAGCTGAGGGTTGTGCAAAATCATCCGACGAAGTGTTTTGTTCATCTTTCGGGAGACTAGCTTTAGTGTCGAGATATTTCTTTTGGAACTTATCTAACCAGCGCCACATGGTATCTTTTGACGGCTCTTTGGGAAAATCAGCAAGTGCGTCACCGCCGTGTTCTTTGCAGAGATTTTCGTAGATATGTGAGGCGCGTTTTTCCCACGGCTTGCCGACAAAGAATTGGTTCCAAAAGCCTGATAGTTCTCCGTGTACATTGTTTTTCAATTCTATTCGTAGCGCTGCTATGTATTCGCGCCAGCTTTCGTAGCTTAGCTTGCGGCAACTCGATGATAGGGAGATGGGTATAGCTCTGTTCTTTAGCGGAATCATTTGATACGAAGTAGAGTACGCACGCGTAGTCCTCAACAAATTGGAGGATTGCCTTCCATGCTTCCAGATCGGAAGTACTTTTAAGGATTTCGGCCGCTAGAGAGTAATAGCGAGAAGGATCGTGCGAGTGAGACCAGATGCTGTGGTGTATAGAAGTGAACTCGCCTGGCAAAAGTTGATCAGCGCTTGTTTGACTGACTTTCTTTGTCGCATATTCGGTCAAGTCCGCAAAAAGGGCAGCTAGCGCTCGTCGATTGGTTAGTAAAATTCTCGGACTGTTCGGATTTTCATTGTAGGTCGCCTCATCAAATATCTCGAACTCTTTCCGGAAGGGGTTCAGGATTATGCCGAGAGGGTTTTCTGCGATGTACTTTTCATCCTCCGGAGAAATAAACATTTTGAGAGGAGGTGATCAAGCGGTAGGTATGAACAAGAATATCCTATGTCAGTCATATACGGAGGTGGGCTGGGGTTAATTAGTAAATTCGTCGACTTATCACGTGTGAAAAAGTCCAACAATTCCCCTTTACAGTACAGACTTCATGAAGTGGGCCTCTCAGTGGCTTAATCCCAATTGTACATTAGCCTATGTTGAATGCTCTTGCCCAATGGATTATCCCTTGTAACTGATCTGAAGTGACACGGCTGATGATTCATCCGAGCCCTAACCCTGACCGCCCAACTAAAGCAATTAGGCAAATTGTAACGGCCACATGCCCAGGCAGCTACGTATTCAAACGATTTCTCGCAGCCACGGCCTAAAATCTGTGTCAATAAATCAAGAAGTTGAATTTTGGAGGTATTGGAGCAATTCTAATAGATCTCTCAACCGGATGTGCCATCCTCTTCTTCTGTAGACATATGACCCTCTTGGTCATAATTTGGTGTTACAAAGGGGATTCGCCAGCGGCGGAAGTTAACGATGACTAATGAAGTGAAAAATAAACGCAGGTCTTCAGTACCTGTGCCTTTCTTACAAGGTGTGGCTACGGCTATCTCATCGACCAATCAGCATCGGGTCACCGTTGCATACACTTGGAGTGCGCATTCGCAATGCATGTAGCAAGGGTGCATTGCGGCACATTTTTGTCCGATTTAGTTTAAGGCTATATTAGGATATGCAGATTCTCTCCGACCAATGTATCCATGTCTCTCTCACGGCTTCTATACAAGTGTAATGCTGCCGTTGGTATTACTTCGAGTTTACACTCAAGGAAGCCAACATCCCGCAAGTACAAACTCTCTCCTATCCATCGAAGGGTGGGGATGCAACCATGTTACACACTTGGTTTTTTGAGTCGCATCGGTGATACTATTCGGGGGTTCGGATATATTGGAGTGATAAGGTAGTTGTGTTGGAGGAATGCAAACACATTTTCCTGTATAATTTAATATTTATTATCCTGAAAGCCGTGCATAATTGTATTGAGTGTCTTTAGCAGTTGGGGATGCAGGCATATTTACGTAATAACTCGCCATCCTCCGTTAAAGAACAAAGACCCCGCGCCTTTTAGCGGTGTGTCCTGCGAAACTTTAGCTCGGTACTCGGGTCAGAAGTGAGAAATTTCATTTGGGGTGGAAGGAGGTTTTCTTTTTGAAGTGAATCGACGTGCATTATTTTGATTTCCAATGTCTCAAGTAGACAGTTGAACACTAACACGGCAGCATGGTGCGGTGTTACATCACCTGGCCGCTCTTCCAAGTATGTTCTAGATAGTATGGACACTTATCACATTCGGCAATCGAGATTGCTAGATAGAGTCCGGAAACGGCTCAGTGCAATTCTTTTTATTGTCCTTTCTGAGTCTACGATTATGTAGCATGTGCAGGTCCTCTCTACCTACAGGCCAAGAATACCTATCGAATAGTATATCCCCTCCTATGTCTCATATATAGCTCCCCTCAAACAGTACTAGCCCTCACAAGCCCTCATTCGATCATATACTTATGTGAGCCATTAACCCGTCATTATCTCTTGTATCCAGTCAACGAAATGATGGTCAATTGCGGTTGTGTAGCTGCAGGAAAAGTCTCAAAAACCACTGGGTACGAGGCTCTCCTATGATGATAAGGCCGGCCAGCTCGACGCATTAGACCTGTGTATATCTAAGAGCGTCTCTCGACCTTCCTAGCCTCCTCCTTCTTCTTTCCCTGATTCATACCGCAGAACAAACCGAAGGTCGTGAAAGGATGTGAGAAAGGTCTTGGTCGAGAATGACTGGTGTGAAGGAGCCTAGCCTTGCATCCAAAAGTCGTTACGGACGTGGGGTCGTCGAGCAACTCATGTATTTTAGATGCCCTCCTGACTAGTAGATTCGGGAGTAAAGATTAGAAGAGATAATGTCATTAACGAGTTGAAATCTGCTTTTGTTGAGGGCGGAAGGGTCTTTTACTTTGGTTTAGTGTGCTTTTTGTTTTTGCGCTGTTGGGAAGCACATGTTGCGATATAATGAGGGCTTCTTTATTTACAGTTATAGCGTTTGGTACTACATTATCTTTCCTCATTCCCGGCATCATTATTGACGTCTGACGTATATCGGAAGCACATGATTGAGGGGGAGATGACTCAGCTAAAAGTTGAAAATATTTACTCAATGTCGGTTCCGCAGACTCTATAGTCCTTTAGAGGAGGGCAAGACTGAACACCTGTACGCGCCGTCCTCAACGAATCTGGAAGTGAAATATTGCCCCAAAGCCAAGTTCAGTCAAATTTCGCAATATCAAAGATGTTAGCCCACGAGGCGATGATTCAAAATACTCCGCCATGTCATTTTTCGCTCTCAACGAGTTCGACTCCTACCTCAGTCTCATCAAGTCTACAAGTACGACTTAGTACATCCTCACCCCAATGACCACACCTCTCGTCGACCTTATCTGGCTTCAGTTGACCGCCAAATACAAGCCCACGCCGATATTTGTAACCGACGAAGGGAGCAAAGCGTGGCGCACAAATCTGGGAGACAGTTCTATGGGATAGACGTGAGAGAATTCAGGACAAGCTTACAAGATAATGCGGAGGAAGGGTACAATCTTGACAGGCGCGAGATTTCAAATTTGACTATGAGGTCTACGAACTTAGCTTTGTACGTGCAAAGGCTTCGATCGCGAGTGTGCTGGCGATACTATTAACACTGCTGTGGTTGGATGGTGCGGTGGTATATCGACATGGCCGGTCTTTCAAGTAGAGTCTGAATAGCTGGGACACATATCCCACTCGAGACAGGAGATCGTTGGTTAAAATCTGGTAGAACACGACCACTTTTCTCGCGGCGCTTATATGCATGGATGACGAAGGCTTGTTTGGATAATAAAAGGTATTGAAATTCCCTTTGATGGGTACTTACGGAGGAGTATCGACTGTTTGTGTACGCGAACATACCTCATAGTGGTATTTGCAAATGAAATCCAGAGTATGAGTGTCTCTAACGTCAAGAGAGTCATCAAATATGTATGCATAGAATCGGTCATATTTTATAGCTATATAGCGGCAAACACGTTAAATGATATTCAAAAAGACTCTGTAGTGAGAGCTGGAGCTTCTTTGGACACAATACTGATAGGTGCTGAGAACTGTCCCCCTGAGAAAAGTTTGATGATCACCGCGGTTTTTTTTTTGCATCAGATTTTAATTGCATATGCAGCTTTCTAGCTATGACATAATGTCAAAGAAAAGTTCAGAAAAGATATCTCAATTTACATGAGAAGCACTCGTGCCTCGGATTTCATTTGCAAGTACCACTGCAAAGATATGGCGGCTTTATCTTCACCCAAGTCAACCCTCATCCGTGAATACCCACCCAGGGGAACGTCTCAAAAACCCTGAGTTGTCCAGACATACCTCCGTCATCCATCAACTTTTCTCTGCGAGAAATATGATCCGAGATGTCTCCCTCCCAAGTGGAGTAGGTGCCCAGGCTACTCAAACTATACCAGAGAACATCACCAGGAGGCGGACCACGGCACCTTCCATCGTTGACTTGTGTTAATAGTGTTCGCTGCACTCTCGCAAGCGAAGTCTTGGCACGCACAAAGCTCAATTCGTAAAACTCTTGCCAAAATTCAAAATGACGCGCCCGTCGAAAACGTATCCTTCCTTTGCATCATCTTCTAAACTTGTCCTGATTCCTCTCACGTCCATCCCAAAGAGCTATCTCCCAGATCTGTGCTCCACGCTTTGCTTCCTCCGTCGGGTGTAAATATCAGCGTGGGCATGTATTTGGTGGTCAACTGAGGCCAGAGCAAGTCGACGAGACGTGTGGTCATTTGAATAAGGATATACTAGGTCGTACTTGTAGACTTGATAGAGCTTAGTTGAGAATCGGACTCTTTGAGAGTGAAGATTTGACGTGGTGGAGTAGTTTGAATCATCGCCTCGTGGGCCAACTTGTTCGGTATTGCGAAATTTGACTGAACTTGAATCTAGGAGAATATTTCACTCCCAGGTTCGTAGAGGACACCGCGTACAGGTGTTCAGTCTTGCCCCCTGATCATCGCGGTACTTGAGAAGCTGGGTACGCTTTGCAATAGTTCCCCGGCTCCGCAATTGGTGTCAATCTCGCAATATCCTAGAGTTTGAAAATTTACCTCGTTATTTGCATGCTCGTTCCTCTAGACTCTTCCTCGTCTCCCATCCATTTCTACTTCCATTCTACTCCCCCTCGGACGTTCGCTGTAAAATTGTAGCTAATTAGCCGAAACCTCGGTCTTGTTGCCCTCAAATGTCCCAAAGTCGAAAATACCTCTTAAATGTCAGTCCAAGTATACCCACAACAGATGCCCTTGTTATGGCTGATAAGCAGTGGATAGTGGTTGGTATTGAAAGGTAGTGATGTACATGATCATGTAATGATATAATGCATACAGATGTACTTGATAGACAATTATTCGATAGGAATTAATAACTGCAGAATTTAATTGAAAACCATTTTCAGTCTGCCTATCTTTGATGGTCTAACGGTTATAATTTCCTCGTGTCAGCAGGACCGCAGTAGATTGGGGTTCGACCTCCCACAGGGATATACAAGTACAATTTTAGGAACACCAATCCATACGAGGACATCTGATGAATCATTGATTTTTGTCGATCGGGAAATTATGGAACAAAAAGACTTGTAAACAGGAGCGAATTTTGGTGGTGTATAGTCTGATTTTAGCAGTTCCTCATAGTCAAAGAATCTGAATTTGAAATATTTAACGTGACAGGACAAACCTAACATCTATCTAGACGTTACACGGGTAGCAATGAGCTCTCAGAGCTCATTGCTACCTACATGACCGGCAGTGAATCTAAAAGCGACAAAAGAAGAGAAGAAAATAAGAATTTACAGTGAATATCTGAGATACGGTGCCCTGCGCTGCATCCCTATCTTCCAGGCACATCCCCTCCTGAGTTGGAAT